GTTATACTTATACATCATACGAATAAAGTTTATAGCATTTTCTAACTCCTTTTCACCAGATTCACCATTATGAAAAGAACCATACGGACAGAAATTCTGAAGTGTTGACTATGGAGGACGAAACCTGCAAAAACAATACATAAATAAATACACTAATAAATAAATAAATATGCAAATAAATAAATAAATGTATGTATAAATACACAAATTCTTGTTTAAATACATATAGAAATAATTAAACGTGATTAAAGTAGGCAAATAAATAAAATAAATTGGTGGACAAATGGAAAATGTTTAAGGAAATGCTAAACTCCTCCTATTTATTTTCCTTTGATCACTCATTTATTTCTGAATGTAGTTCCACGTTTATTTTTCCTCTGAGCAACATGCTAATGAGAGGGTGTCAACCATGGTCGGGGTCGGGATAGCTGGGGGCGTGACTTTCCCGCTGACAGGAGATGCATGGTCTTAATCCAGTGTGACCTATGTAAAGTCCCTTTTTCCGTTTAACATAGCAAGATACATAAAAAACTGAGCTGTATTGTCCGTACAGTATCTGTGACTTTACAAACGACCCAACGAAATGGCCAGTGTCGTTTCCTGACGTCATTTTTTGCAACCCGATTGAGTCTCCAGCTAGAGACAACTGTAATATCAGTATCCCATGGTCATCGTGAGATGACTGGTATGAAGTGGTTTAGTCGAGGAATAGACAGTTTTTTCCCATTAGTTATCAGAACAGAAAATACAGGCGACAAAAGTATGTTTATTAAGCAAATAACGGTTCAGTATTGCAATTAAGAGCTATGTAAGCATTAATATTTTACATTGGCCACTTAAAATCTTTTATGATTTAGCTCTCTCATGATTATAACTACAAAACTAACCCTATGAAAAAGTGTAAGATAATAATTAGTCCCCCTTGACTGATGAAGTTAATATGCATGCGCAGGCAAACGCTCAAGCGCGTCACACACGATCCGCCTACTCTTGCATAATTGACACCCTCTCATTAGCATGTTGCGCAGAGGGAAAAAAATGTAACTACATTCAGAAATAAATGAGTGATCAAAGGAAAATAAATAGGACGAGTTTAGCATTTCCTTAAATATTTTCCATTTGCCCACCAATTTATATTATTTATTTGCCTACTTTCATCACATATATAATTATTTATTTATGTATTTAAACAAGAATACGTGTATTTATGCACACATTTATTTATTTGTGTATTTATTTATTTATTGTTTTTGCAGGTTTCGTCCTCCATATCAGTGAAAGGAGGAATTTTAATCCACGTTACATGAACCTTTTCATATAAAAACTGGAATAAATACAAAACTAAAACTGAAATGAAATTAATAGTAGTAGCTATAGTCGTGAATAAATGAAATATTTAAGCATATGAAAGCACGTAGTTCTGTACATTTCGAAATAAGGTGCATTAGAAGTCAATAAATCCTTGATTAATATGAATATTTTAATTAAAACCGTGTCTCCACGTAGTATTCAATAAAAGTCATTTTAATCTATTAAATAACAGCAGAGTGAGCAAGTTTTTGGATCTTTCGGGGCAATTAAAGCAAAAGACAACAACTGTCGAATAACAATATAAAACGCAGAAAACTATTAATTGGTTATTTTACAATTAATTGTACTACAAATTAGAAAATAGGCTACTACAATTGGAAAATATTATAAGTTGCTCAAAAAAATTTTAATAAAATAAAAAACCCAAAACAATAATGAAAACACTATAAACACTCCATGTTTCATTTTTAGCACACTTATTCATGATTTAGTTCATTTCTTTCATAATTTTAAGGAAACTTAAGCCAATTATAGGTAAAAGAGACTTTGAAATGAAGTAAAAACATAATTGGATAGACCTGTTTTTAAAGAAAAATGCATATCGGCAAAATAATAAAACGGTGTACGAGTTATTGTCATTCAGAAACAAATGTGTAATATACGAAGAATGTGAAATGTAATCAAATTTGGAAACAAATATCAAGTAAAAGTTTATGTGTCCACCTCATGAATGCTTTGACTGCGTGTATTTTTATAATTTGATATGTATGTATCTGTTATTATTAGTATTATTATGTTACCTCTCCTGGCACATGCATTGGCAGACAGCAAATATATTGAATACATGAGACATATTTCTGGTTACTACGCTATATTTCAACAAATAAGTTGACATGATCTAGAGCAGTGGTCGCCAACCCGTCGATCGCGATCACTGTCCCAGTAGATCCCGAAAATAACAGTAAAATAAGTACAAAAAATGCATTACATTTATGGGGTTATATTAATGTATCACTGAAGGGAACTGTATTGAGAAAAGTGTCGATAGCATTTTCTTCTCCGTATAAAGTGCGGCTCTGCTTTGTTTACAGCGGTAAGCAAGGAAACGCTATATTGCGGTCGGTTCATAAGCAGTGTTGCCAAGCCCACGGTTTTCCTGCGGAATTTGACTACTTTAACACTGTTGCCGCGGGTTGTTGTTCATGTCCGCGGGTTGAAGCGACCCCAATAACGTGATATTTAGCCCCTGGAATATGAATTTTACTGGAAGATCCCCGCCGAAAAACGTGTATTTTACCCCCGAATGAGATTTTTACATGGGAATCCCCCCGTTTTATTGCGAAAACTTGGCAACCCTGTTCATTAGTGCCACCTGCTGTCAGAGAGTGCGTCTCATTTAAAACCTGCTGTTGTTTCGCGCAGATGTTTTATGTAGCAAATAAATTACACCTAAAGTCAGACCATTCTGTTTTTGTTTTAAATCCTGAAATTAATCTAAATCAAATCAAAAACAACTGCTCGTGCAGATCGTGATTAAAATGCAGTGGTTGCCTCTAATTTCAAATAGCTAGATATTTTTGTTTAAAGCCAGTTTGTTTGTTATAAAGCAAATAGCCAATAAATTAATTTGCTTTAAAAAAATCTATATCAGTATCCGAATCCAATTTGCTAGTTAAAAAAAAAAGAAAGAAAAGAAAATCTGAATTCTGAATCGGCAATGATCGGCGCATCACTAATTAAAATACTAAGTAAAATGCCTCAAATTTGAAATCTGGGTTGTCTTTTTCTATCAATTCTTCAACAGGTAGATATTGTCTTTCATAAAGGCCGAGGTCAGGGATCTTGGGCCTAAAAAGGTTGGTGACCACTGCTCTAGAGTGAAAAAAGTGGAGTTTTGCCTCAAGTTTTTACATTAGCGATCAAGTGCAGCCCAACACTATCAGAATTGTTTAACATTCAAATGTAATAAAATGTACTTATGCAACTTTTTTTTTTGACTTGTGGGTAAGTTAAGTAGTTCTAATGCTGCTGGAACAACTGAAACCTTACATCCAAATCAACTATGTTTAAACCGTGCACAATCACTCAAGTCTATCGGAATCTCTGCCTATGAGCGAAGAAACCGTACTAGGACAGGGTTCATTTATTCATAAGCTAAGCAGGGGTGTCTTAACAGGGGGGAGGTTAGGACATTTCTAAGGGCCCGACGAGGGAGAGGGGGCCCCCACACCAGGGCCCGAGTCAATCAGTATTGCCCGATTGGGCGGGAACCTCAGACCGGAAAAAAATGCATTGGGCAGGTTGATAAAATTTGGGCTGCTTTTTGATACAACTGGCTGGTGTTTTCAGCGAGCTTGTAACGCGGAAATTCCCGTAAATATTTCATCATGAAAGTCGCTTGGGACAGATGATGGAATGTATAATTTGCATGTGCTTTTGAGTCTTACCATTTTAAACTGTGAGACCGCTTTCTGTGAGCTCACTCCCAAAGTCTGTCAAAACATCCGTCTTGATGAGTATTCACGTAAACAGACGATTTATACTAAACACTGTTGGTTATGGCTATTAAATGAATGTAAACAGTTGAGAAACAAAACTTGTGTTAGATCCGTGCATGAGGTCTTAAAGAGACAGCAACCTAAATAAACCTGCTGCTGTCTGTCATTAATGTTTATTTATACATTGAAGACTAACCAGTGTTATTTTAAAGTTAAATAGATTAAGTTTCTGTGGTATTTCTGTACCTGAATATTACTGTTAGACCTACCTGACTTAGTTAATTTTATTTGTTTGTGCCTTTGCTTGTCATTTATCCATTCTTACTTCATTACTGACTGTTTACTTGTCTTTTTTAGTTTAAATTAATTCAGTTTGAAATCAAAGTTCTTAAGTATCTTCCTCACAATATAAATATGAATCAACATTATAAATTGAAAAACATATACACTGGGTGACAAAACATTTAGGTTGGATGATTGTAGTTTAAAAATGTCTAAAAAATATATAGATTTACGTTGTAGTTGGGCTGAGATCTTCAATCCAATCTGGCAACACTGGAGTCAATATGCTGTTCATGGGTCCCAGAAACCATAGCAGCGACCCAGAAGCCAAGTGACCTTAATTATGTAACAATTAACACGTCAACACGACTCTGTTAACAAAGACGGAAGTAACAACGCAGGCAAACGCTGTGGGAAATGCAGTTTGCTTGCACTGTTAGATGTATTATATCTTATGTTCCTTGCTTTGAAGCGGATAACAAAGACAATTAAACTCTTGCGGCTGTTCACTCTGGTCCAGTGACAAAATTAGCGAGAGCAAGTGGTACAAATTTATAAAGATTAGACTAATGAATTATCTACTTATCTGGTCAAAACAAATTCCTCTTTGTCTTTCTTGACTAATTAAAAATTACACCTACTAGCATATTTTTTGAGCATAGTGCTTAAAATGTCTACACTGGTTGTCTAGATCAGTAACTTTTACACAAACTACTGTAGTGGCCATTTTATGTTATTCTTCTCAGAATACCATGCTATTGCCATGTTACAAATGTTGACTAGTTATCTAGAGGATGCAAGAAATGTTGAAATGTGAATGATGTCACATCGTGACCAATCACACGTGACCAATCTGTTTCACAGAGCAAAGTTGACAGCTCCACCATTACAGCAAAAACAAAGAATTAACAAATGACAGGACAACAGAATCTGTCAAATCCCTTTAACAAAAAAATACATTGGAAAAATGGCAGTCTTCTGTCTTTTTTCACCAATTAAATAGTACAAGTAATAAAATAACTCTCCCTAAATCAGGTCCAATCTGGAAGTTGGTGCTTGAGATGTAAGGCTTCCACATCGATATACTTTCATGGTTTCTACGGATACAAAAAAATGCTATTGTGATTCTTAGATGGGCTCTTGATAGTGCAAACCTGCTCCCATGGCTTGGGCATTCAAATAAATAGTGTAACAACATCAGCGGCACTAGGAAAGCATTTCCATTCCACTCGGTTCCTCCCAAACAAAATAAGACGAGATCAAAGCCAAGCATGCTAAACTAAATCTTTTTCCGCTTTGCTTTCATTGCTAGTTTTTTTTTCATCTCCTCCTCCTCCTCCATACGCATGTCCTCTTCATCCTCCTTGATGCCCAGGCGTAAACTGAGGCAGAAACAAAAAAAGATGTAATTAAGGAACGTAATTTCAGCCAGTTCTCTGCATAAAGGGAGAGAAGCGTTTTATTTCAGTCTATCGGAAACACAATCATCACGATCATTTTCATTTCTTGGCATTCTTCCGCCTCATCTCCTCAAGTTCTTGTTTTTCCTCCTCCTGTTCCTCATACACTGCCAATCGCAGGCTAATCAGACAATCAGGGGCAAGGCAAGGCAAAAAAACAAAAATCACAGAAAAGAAGGCAATAGTGTGATGATTTGGTGAAAATGATGATGAACCAAAGCAGTTTGTCAGAACTAATATTTACCCACTTGTAGCACATTTACCCATTGCTGAATTCTTACCTCCTCGCTTCCTCTTTCTGCTGTTCCTTCCAGCTGCTCTCCATAAACTTCAATGCATAGTCACTTTCATCTTTATATCTGTTAAAACAAAAGACACAAATTTAGCAGAAAGTAGGCAAACTCCTTGTAATTTAAGGCAAAAAACATTCTATGCAGATACGCAAACATCTATGTGCAAGCACGTTGCCTATAACTGGCGAGATCAAATACCAGCGTAGAGTATTTTTCAAGCCCAAGGATATTTTATGAAACCTTAAAGTGCCCATGAAATCAAAATGAAAGTTTTTTTGGGTGTTAAGTATCAATATGCTAGTCTTAAGGTTATCTATAAGGCAGTGTGCTCCCGATACGCAAACATCTATGTGCAAGCACGTTGCCTATAACTGGCGAGATCAAATACCAGCGTAGAGTATTTTTCAAGCCCAAGGATATTTTATGAAACCTTAAAGTGCCCATGAAATCAAAATGAAAGTTTTTTTTGGGTGTTAGTATCAATATGCTAGTCTTAAGGTTATCTATAAGGCAGTGTGCTCCAACACAGTGACAAAATTCGCATTTAGAAAATATAAGCATTCAAAGCAAGCAGTTCGTCACTTTCGCCAAAATGGCTCAATTATTTTTTTTTGACGTCACATCGTACTTCAGCTTCTCATCAAACTTTCTGTCCAATCAAATACTCTCTAGAATCCGAAGCGCCCGCCCCCTACACTATAAAATAGACACCGAAGCTGGGGATGAAATCGGTCACTTGTCCACAGAATTAGTATTTTCTGTAGAGTGAATGGCACGTAGTGCACTATATAGGGCTCTAGCCCATGCTGCGATATAAACGAACGCTATTGGCTATTTTAAAAAGGGGCAGGGCTGCTTGATATGTCCCGCCCTGTCTTCCTGTTTCAGTTAAAATTACGTCAACAGAGTAACGCTGTGTGTTTCTAAGCATTTCAAGGGACCTTTAAGTTTGGGAAGAACTCACTTGGACTTGTCATAGCCAAAGATTTCCCTGATATGTTTTGAAATTTCATCTTGGTCTTGTCCTTCATCGTCGATGAAGTCGTCCATCTCAGAGTCGAAATCTTCCTCATCCTCATACTTCCGTTTATAATTGGATGTTATGGGGGGCAACGCTGGTCCTTTAAAAATAGCAGGAGTAGAGGGGATACAACTTTAAAAACTTGTAAGAATACACACAAGGCATTAATGTTGCTACCGATTACAAATTAAAGACAAATAATTTTTTATAGAACATAAGAATGAATACATGTGCAAATAATACAAACTGATTCCAAAAGAAAATTTTATACAATTACTTTGAGCAACAAACAACGCAAGAATTGATACACACAAATTAAAGCAACAAGGATCTTTCGTGACAACTGGTTTAATAATATCCTTAACGGGCTGTCGATTGCTATCAAAACTAATTTCAACTTGTTTCAAGAAAGTCATAACTGCATCTTTTCTCCAGAAACTGCTTTCTGTATGAGAAAGAAAATGTAGTACAGGAATCGATTTTGTCCATCAGGAATTGATTGCATGTATAATTCTATAGGTTACCGTCTTTACATGACAGGAGTTGAATAGAATAGTATAGAACTTTAAACAGACAAGGTTAGCAAGTGACTTTGACACTTTTCATGTCAACACCAGATAGGAAATGTGTACGTGTATAACTTTTAATATGGTCTAATGCATTTCCCCATCAACTTCAGTTGCAAGTTCATTACATTAAGTGGAATTAGTTTTGAGGGACAAGTAGGAAGTTATTTGTGTTATCTTGGGACTGGGATCTGTTGAAATAGTAGTTATCTTAATATTAACAAACAGAAATCATGAAACACTTTAAAAGGTTTAAAGCCATTAAAAGGTTCTTACCACAACCCTTACCAGGAGGTCTAACCAGGATTCTGTGGCCTGAGGGTCCAACCACTGTCTTGGGGCCTTGAGGGCCCAGAGGTCTTGGAACCATCCCAGGTTTTGGTGCAAAGTTCTTTGATGAAATAGTCTCTGAAATAACAGTGCACTGAGGTCTTCCAGGGCCAGAGCCCATGCCATTTAACGGTCTCCCAGAAATACCACCTCCCATCCTGCTTGGTCCATTTATAGAGGCCTTGGAGCTTCCAGGAACCAGCCGAGCTTGCAAACTACCACCTGGTCTTGGTTGCTTTGAGGGGTCACCAGAAGAAGGTCGTACAAGTCCGTTGCCCTCAGGCCGTGATGAATGTCCTGGTTTTGCTTGTTTCGGAGGTTGCCCACCCCTGTCGAAGTTACTAGGTCTACCTTGCCCAGAGTTTTTGTGTGGTTCTTGACCTGGTTTAGTTGCACCAGGAGCAACTCCAGTGCGACTTCCTGAAATACTTGATTTCCCCTGAGGTACTGAGATATTCCCCTTCTTTGGGATAAGGTCACTTGAGGTTGTGGGCTTTTGGCCTTGTGAGGGTCTGGATGGTGCTCGTTTCGATTGAAACGATGCACCATTCTTCATGGCAGCTTTACCATTTAAGGAACCTGAGGAGCCTGAATTTCTGTCTCCATGCAGTTTGGCAGAAATTGGAGTTCTTTCACTGAATGCTTGAAGCTTTGGCTTTTTGCTGGTACTACTTGACTGGTACTTTTCTCCTGATGGCTTGTGCAATTTCTCATTTTTGCCATCTCGGTCTCCACTTTTCTTTTGTGAATTTGAGCTGGATTTGTGTCTTGAAATCTTGTCTGGTTTGGCGTCCTTTCCTCTATCCTGATTCTTAACTCTGCGCTCCATTTCGATTTCCCGAATCTCCTCTGCTGTTCTAAGCCTCTCTTCGGTCTTCTTCACTACCTTCACTTCAACAGGTTCAAACTGCTTCTTTTCCGCAAGTTTTAGTAGGTCTGCAAAGTTCATTGATGCTGGTGGGGGCCTTACTGGAGCACTGTTTTTTTTCGGTTTGCTGTCAACTTTGTTGGAAGACTCAGCCCGAAACTGAGGCTTGACAGGCATGATTTGTTCTTCAGATTCAGAATCTGTTCCCTCACAGTAGTAATCACCATCATCATCATCATACGAGTTCAAGCTTTGCTGCTCTTCCGTTGTATCCCCCTTCGAGCTCCTCTTTTTGGGCTGGTCTATGACAGGGATACCGTTGTAACCTCTGAAATTGTCCTTGGTTCGTGAAGCCATTGCTCTTGCCTTCCTGTCTGATTTCAGCTCCACTCTTTTGGCCAACAGTTCCTCTTTTGCTTTCTTACTCTGTATTTCTAAGAAAGGGAATGACAGAAACATCAAAATATGCATCATATGAGAAATGCCATTGTTGCAATCCTCCAATCCTGCTCCAATCCTGACCAACCCCATAAAGCCAATTATATCATATTTAATACGTAAATTTCTAAGGCCTCTAACTTATCAATCCTTTGCTGAAAAACTTCGTTAGAGGTAGGCAATATGGCAAAAATATCAGATCACAATGATTTTTCAATTTTTTTCAGAAAAATCACGATTTTATCATGATTCTGTCATGTTGGTTTTACTATTCTGCAAGTTGTCTGAGGAGTACAGCCAAACTATTTCCCTATTTTAAAAACAAAGCCTTACAAATTAACAAAATATAAAAACAATGGCAGACATTTAAACCAAAGTGGGTGAAGATAAAAAAAATCATTGTCATTATATTATCTTTGTTTAGGGTCTCAAAAAGGTGGAAATTTTCCAGGACTTTTTTTTGGAATATTCCTGGGATTTTTGTAAAGTTTCTGGAAATTGTCCACCCCTTTGCAACCCTATCTTTGTTATTAAAAAATAAGAACAAAGATACACATTACAAATACAGATAATATACAAATAAAACAAACAGTGCTTTTTTCAGGTACAGGAGGTGTAACTAGCAGTAGCATTCAATAAACTGAATGAACAAATAAAAATAAAACACCACATACACTTCACTGTATAAATTATACATTTGACTCTTATTAAAGCAACTGTATTGAAGTTCTTCAGTCAAGAGCAGATTTTTCTCTGTTTTGTTGCTTTATTAACATTAAAGGGATAGTTCACCCCAAAACACCTTTTGTTTGTCTGTTTTTGACAGTATTAACACAATCAGACCCATGCAAATAATGTACCTTTGTGATTGTGAATAAGTGCAGTGTCCCATGAGTGTAATTCTACCGCTGAGTAACAGTTGATGTGAATGTATGTGGAGTTGTACAGCATTATTGAGACAGAGGTGTCAGAACTGCAACTGACAGAATGGGTACCATAGCACGCACAAATCACGATACTTATTCAAAAGCAGATCATGTAGACATTTTAATCATCCACGATCACAAATCGTGATATCGCACACCCTACAGAATCTACTACATACCTTGTGTCATATGATTGATAGTTCAAAACTTTTCAGCAAGTAAAAAGGCCATTTATTATAATTGTACAAACGTCCCCCTTCAGGCTGTGTTTCACGTGTCTATAGGGCAGGCAGGCACTTGCAGCAAATGTAGCACTGCCAGTTGTCGTTGGAGATTCTTTGTCCTCCTCAGTGATTTTTCTCTGTTTTGTTGCTTTATTAACATTAAAGGGATAGTTCACCCCAAAACACCTTTTGTTTGTCTGTTTTTGACAGTATTAACACAATCAGACCCATGCAAATTATGTACCTTTGTGATTGTGAATAAGTGCAGTGTCCCATGAGTGTAATTCTACCGCTGAGTAACAGTTGATGTGAATGTATGTGGAGTTGTACAGCATTATTGAGACAGAGGTGCCAGAACTGCAACTGACAGAATGGGTACCATAGCACGCACGAATCACGATACTTATTCAAAAGCAGATCATGTAGACATTTTAATCATCCACGATCACAAATCGTGATATCGCACACCCTACAGAATCTACTACATACCTTGTGTCATCTGATTGATAGTTCAAAACTTTTCAGCAAGTAAAAAGGCCATTTATTATAATTGTACAAACGTCCCCCTTCAGGCTGTGTTTCACGTGTCTATAGGGCAGGCAGGCACTTGCAGCAAATGTAGCACTGCCAGTTGTCGTTGGAGATTCTTTGTCCTCCTTTCAATCGCTTTATGTATACGTTGACTTTCCATGTCCATTATTGTGAAACCCGCGAGACACAACAAAAACACAGCTCCGATGTTAATGTTGTTCTTCTTTGTTTCTGTTGTTGAACACCGTGCACAAATGACGACGCTGCTGTCGACCAGCTTACGTCACTTCTTAGTACACACTGTCGGTGCGAATGCAACCCTTTAAATGGTACTGGGAAATAGTTTGCGCAAAATCGTTGTATCTTTCTCAGTTAAGACACATGGTTTTCACTTGTTCTTTCTTTTTTTTTTACTTTTTCGTTTTTTATAGACTGCAAATGGGATTTAAAAAAATTAAAATATATTACTTGGAAAATAAGCTATATTATAAGCTAAGTATAATATAT